TTAAAGTAGACTCAATTTGCACTATTTCTAGCAGTCTGCAAAGGCTCTGAAATGACATATAGCCTGATGCTCAGAATGCAGCCTTAAACTCTGTGAGCCTTCATCCTATCAACAAATATATGCAAAGAAGTCCAAATGAAATCAATAAGTTTGCATTACTAAAAAAAAACCTATTCCCAGCATGATTTTAGGTTGCTGCATATTAGGAAGTAAGGCTCATCAAACACATAGTCCAATCTTGGGCACATTTTACTCAGAAATACCTCATTTTGTCTTCTGTAGAGTTTACACCAAGCAAGGGTGCAGAACACTGCAATCTGCCTTGGTCTTCTGGTTGTGTGCCTTGAAGTCATGTTGATTTATGGTGACTTATGGTTTTGGCTTATGGTGACCCAGTCAGAGGGTTTTCTGAAGCTGAGAGTGTGTGACTTGGTCCAGTGGGGAGTTGAGCCCTGGTCTCCAGAGGCATAGTCCAATGCTCAAACTGCTACACCACATTGATTCTTACTTTTCAGTAAATAAGAGTTACTCTCACATTGTACGTGGAAATGCAAGTCAGGAATGACAGCTTAGAAAAATCTGTAAATCAGCTTTAAGCTGTCTTAGTATCCTAATAACACTAATGATGATGATGGCAGCCCTGATTTCTCTTTTAAAAAATTCATTATTTTTTAGGTGGACACTCAAAGACAACTTTTTTTCAAGGCTTTAGTTCTCCCTATCCTTATGGTGCAGTGGTTTGAATGTTGGACTGTGACTCTGGAGTCCAGGGTTCGTATCCCGGCTGGACTATCAAACCCACTGTGTGACCTTGGACAAGTCACGCTCTCTCAGCCTCAGGAGAAGGTAATGGCCAGCCTTCTCTGAACAAACCTTGCCAAGAAAACCCCATGATGGGTCACGTTAGGATGGTCATAAGTTGGAAACAACTTGAAGGCACACAACAACAACTCTCATTAACTCCCAACTTATTTATTTATTTCATTTTTATGCCGCCTTTCTCCCCAATGTTACAGTAATTAAAAAAAAAAGTTAAAATCATCTAATTAAGAGAGTATAAAATTAACATTAAAAACATACAAATGTTAAAAACATAACTAAAACACCCCCCCATATAACACTCCCAATAAAAGTCATCCACGATCAGTTCCACTGAACCCCAGGGAAGAGTAAAAGCTAAGTGGTTTGTAGTTCACCCAAATATCTTGATTAATGCTACTAATTGATTAAAGTATATGTTCTTAGTAGGTGAGGGTGAACAAAGTAGAATGTTACACATACACACAACATGACAGCCACGTTACACAAACATAATCCCTTTCCAGTCAGTGCTAACAACACTCTGAAGCAAATGGAGTGAGGTTTGTCCCTATTGCTGATGCTCCTCAGTACAGCTGGACACCAAGCATGGGCTACTTGTCTCCACAGCTGCCATGGTCCAACTTATCTAGGGCTCCTGCATTAGTAAGGGGCTTCTTCCCAAAGCAGTGACTCTGGAATCCAGGGTTCGAATCCCGGCTCAGCCATGGAAACCCACTGGGTGACCTTGGGCAAGTCACACTCTCTCAGCCTCAGGGAAAAGGCAATGGCCAACCTCCTCTGAACAAACCTTGTCAAGAAGCCCTCATGATAGGGTCACCATAAGTCACAAAGGACTAGGCACACAACCACAACCACAACAACCCCCTCATTACTCCCTGGACCCTCTCTGGCGATTGAAAAGGTTATATCGCAGGGTGACCAGGCATGTCCTCCTTTCCTAGGACCTGTCCTACCTTTCCATCTTCTGTCCAGGAGGAATTCCCAAATGCCCTCCACTTGGAGCTTGACTAAAGAAGCATGGATCGGTATTGAGTGTTTTCAGCTTTTCTTTGGTCATGTCCTACATTTCCATCCACCTTTTTCTCCAGGAGGAATTCCAAAACGTCCTCCCATTTGGAGCAGGACTAAAGAAGCATGGATTTAGTAGATGAATTCACCTTTCTAGGGGCATGGCTTTACCTTTATAGGGGCACAGGTTTAACTTTCTGGGGGCATGGGTTTACCTTCCTAAGTGGTACCTTTATAGGGACATGGTTTTACCTTTCTAAGGGTTAGGGTTAGGGTTAGGGTTTAGGGTTAGGGTTTACCTTTCTAGAGGTACCTTTTTAAGGGCATGGGGTTTACACTTCTAGGGGCATGGGCTTTCTAGAGGTACCTTTCTAGGAGCATGGATTTACCTTCCTAAGAGGTACCTTTCTAGGGACATGGTTTTACCTTTCTAAGGGCATGGGTTTACCCCTCTAAAGGTATTTTTCTAAGGGCATGGGGTTTACACTTCTAGGGGCATGGGCTTTCTAAAGGTACCTTTCTAGGGGCATAGGTTTAACTTTCTAGGAGCATGGATTTACCTTCCTAAGAGGTACCTTTATAGAGACATGGTTTTACCTTTCTAGGGACATAGCTTTCCCTTCCTAGAAGTATCTTTCTAAGGGCATGCATGGGTTTACCTTTCTAGAGGTACCTTTCTAGGGGCATGGGCTTTACCTTTATCAGGGCACAAGTTTAACTTTCTAGGGGCATGGGTTTACCTTCCTAAGAGGTACCTTTCTAGGGACATAGCTTTCCCTTCCTAGAAGTATCTTTCTAAGGGCATGGGTGTACCTTTCTAGGGCCATGGGCTTACCTACCGTTCCTTTCCCTCGGGTCCTGTCCTGTCCTGCCTTTCTTTCCCTTTGGCGAAGCCTCCTGAGGAAGGAGGAGGAGGAGGAGGAAGGCGCCCTGGGAGCCCTCCTTGCCGCCTCTTACCTGAGGGAGCAGAAGGAAGGGGCCGCTGCCGAGGAGAAGCAGAGGCTGCCAGGCGCCGAGGAGACGGAGCTCTCCCTCCTTTAAGGCGGCGGCGTCGGGGGGCGGACTGAGGGAGGCAGCTGGGACTGGAAGCCCAGGAGGAGGACCCCCGAGAAGGAAAAGGAAAAGGGAAAGGAAAAGGAAAAGGAAAAGGAAAAGGGGGCTGCAAGGCAAGGCAAGGCAGGCAAGGCAGGGCTGTGCGCTCCCACGCTCGATGCAGAGTTGCCAGGCGCTGCAGCCGCACTGCACCGATAATCCGGGCTCGACACCACTGTTGGGCTGCATCCACACTCAGGAAAGAATCTGCCTTGGTTGCATCTCGCACTGAAGAAAGAATCTGCTCTGACACCACTTTGGTTG